TCTTTCCCTTCATTTTCAGCAGAGTTATACATCTGTAACAGGGACGGTATATTCTTGTGGCTGAAGTATAGCTCAAAGCTTGACACGTGGTATGTGCCCAATAAACGTTGAGAGGAATTCCTCACGCAGACAAGTCAGATTAGTTTGTATGTGACCTTGGACAATATATCTACCCAAGTTCTTTTGCCATTCTGCACAGATTTTCACTAGAGGGAAAAAATAATGCTGTGGTGAACTGCTGTGAAATCCACCAGGGATGCAGGTAGAGGGATGTAGTGAACTTGGGTTTTCCGAGAGTGAAGTAGTAGAAATGACACTATATATATATATAAAATAAGAATACAAGAGGATGAGAAAGGATATTCCATGGGAAACTGCTGCCATCTAGTGGTACATTTGCAAATGACAACTGTTGCATTAGACCAAAACACATTCAATAAATAAAAATCTCAGAATTATAAAATGCTGGGATTTGGAGAGTCATCACAGGTAGACTATCAACAAATGCTGAATGTATACTCCTTCTGGGACCATGCTCATGACCCTACCACCTTATAGAAGTAGGAGAGGGGGTGCAAGAATGGAGACTGGAATCTAAGTACATGTCTATACTTGACTTGCATTTTTAGAAACACTTCAGTGGTTGTAATAAATGTATTGTACATGCCCTCTAGAAGAAAGGTTCTTGACCTTGGGCCCACTGACCCCTTCTAGATACTTCCCAAGAACTCAGGAACCAGAGTGGGGGGAAGGAGAAATGTCTCTTTTCATGATCTTCAAACTGAAATTAGCATTTTCTGTGACAGAATCTGTGACTTAATCATTTGTAGAAACTATAAATATTTCCATATCACATGATAGTTGTTGCAGATATCATAAATCATTTAGTCATCACTACTTTGAAATTATAGTGATTATAAGACCTGCTGCTACATCTTACTATGCTATATAAGAAATATATATTACTAAATCACTCATTTTTAAAAACTTTTCATATTTTCAATATGATTGATTTTTTAATATAATTATTTTATTTAAATTTATTTATTTTACTTTGACCATAAAGGGACAGAGAGAGAGAGGGAGAGAAAGTGAGAAAGCAAGACGCCAGGTCCAGGACTTGAACCACAGTCACCCATGTGGAAGTCCAGTGCCTTTAACCACCACACCACCTGCTACCCCAATATGATTGATTTCTTGAAATCCTTTTTTATTTTATATGCTTGAAAACATTCTTCTGTAAAGGGGTCCTTGATACACAAAAGGTCAAGAATCACTGCTCTGAAGGTTCAGAGAAAGGTGGAATGGCCGTGGGTTGGACTAGTCTGAGAGGGCTACCCAGAGAAGCAGCAAAGAGGTCTTCTTGCTCTTGATTAAAGGGGTCACAGCCAGTGGCACAGAAGTAAAACATGATGCTCTGTGAGGCTGACGTGCATGCTTAGGTTCCAGGCTCATATCTGAAGACCTCCCTGAGTACTTCCAGACATGCATGCCCATGATCTGGGGCTAGCTGAGGCTGAGGATGGGTTGCAGCATCAAGATCCTGTTGATGGTGCTTGCTCTTTCTGTTTCTCTGTTCCTCTCACTTACAGAAGAAATAAATATACTTTAAAAGGAGGAAGGGTTCTGGGCTGGTTCCATGGCCCGGTGGTTAAGGGAGCCAGATCCCACATGTCCAACCATGAGCCGAGTCCCACATCCAATGGGAAATAGGCTGTGTGTGTGTGCAAGTGTGCAAGTAAGGATGAAGAGATGGAGAAGGGATTATGGTGTGGCCATTCCCCATGGGGGGTGTTTTCTCCCTCCCCCTCTCTTTCTGTCTCTCTCTTGCCAGTGCACATGCCCTCTGGCGAAAAAAAAATAATTAAAGCAGAGAGGGTGGTCATTGAACTATTTCAATTCAAACCTTATCTGGGGAAGCAGAGCCAAGTCTTTATCAAAGGGTAAAACTAAGAAGTTTCTGTGTTTTTTTCCCCTATGTCCAGCCCAGCAAGTGATCCCTTTGGAAAGACTCTGAGAAGACACTTTATACTAAAAGATAAACAACTGGAAACATTTTCATTTTGTTTTAAAGAAAATTTTGCTATAGGGTACATGCACTTGCCAGGGAGACAGAGAGAGACTGAAAGCAAAAAATCACTCCCCAGTGGATGACCACACCGCAATCCCTTCTCCTCCATTTTCTCGGGATTTTGAGCATGCACATACACATATCCGGCGTGAGTTTTAAGCCACCAGGTCTGGGACTCAAACCATGGTTGACTACATGGGAGTCCAGTGACATAACCATCATGCCATCTGCTAGTCCCAGGAGCGTTTTCATTTAAGGAGTCTCATTTAACAAGATTCAAAGCATTTATGAACACAAAGGACTGGCACTTGCTGAGCGAGATTCAGCTGGTGTGCAAACTGGCTGAGACTTTGGGCAAGATCAGCCTGTCCTTGAATGGCACTGTGTCCCCTGACTTGCCCATATGTGTAGTAAGATTGGTTCTCTTGGTTATAAACAATATAGAAACTGACTTGGCCAGAATTAGAAAAACAATTTAATGGGCGGTGATTGTAATCCAAGGAAGAAAGGAACCACCCAATACAGACCTCCTGGCCTGCCACACAGCAGCTATGTACCCTCCTCTTCTGGTAATTGTACCCTGAGATCCCTCGTTGAAACACTTCCTCCCCACTGTCAGTCATTTTCTTACTAGTGAGATTCCAGCCCCAGACTGGAGATACAAGGCCTTAGTCAACAGACCCATGTGGGAGCTCAGCGCCTTAACCACTACACCACTTACTGGCCCCCAGGTCCGGGACTTGAACTGCACAATTGGCTATTTGGGATCCAGATGCCTTAAGCACACCAAATGGCCTCTCAATCTTATTTTCTTATCCTCTCTCTGCTACTACTCATCTGAACTTTGTTGTACTTTCTCAGAGAGTTCCTTGGCATTATTTTTTAACCCTATTAATGAAAACACAGGGAGGGGATATCACGTTTCTAGATTCTCTAGATTCTCACTAGAAAAGAGAATCTAGAGCATAAGATGCCTCTTTTTATTGGTATCTTACTTTTGTTTTATCGATGTGATCAATTACAATTTAAGTTATCTGCTTATCCATCATTATTTCAGTTTCCTCAACGTCCTTTTCTCGCTTTTAGTTTCTGTGTCTTGTGTTAAAGATTTCCTTCAGCTGTCTTTTATTTTTATGTTTGTTTTTTTGAGTTTTTTTGGTATTGGACATATGTGCTCACCAGAGAGACAGAAAGGGAGAAATCACCCCCCAAGGGGGATGGCCATGTTGCAATCTCTTCTCCTCCATTCTCCTCTTGGGATCTTGGCCACACATGCACACACACCTGGCATGTGTTTTAAGCCACCGGTTCCAGGACTTGAACCATTGGGAGTCCAGTGATGTAACCATTACACCATCTGCTGGTCCCTTCAGCAGTCTTTTGATCCTAAGGAATCCATTGATATTTAAGGGTGAGGGAAGACCATTTTTTTTCCCCTTGGTCCTGGGATGTTTTTGATAATGCTATCTAATTAAATTTTCTGGCAAAGAAAAAGAGTCACCAGACTCCAGGGGAAATCACTGTGTATCTCCTATGCCAGAGAATGCTGTCATAATCTAAATTTGGCTAGAGAAAAAAAGATCCAGTAGTGATTTCATTCAGAAGAAAAAATGCCTAAAATGGAGAAGTGACCTTGAGTACTGAGAATCTACCTCTATGAAAGGGAGCAGGGTATAGCAGAGGACAGTCACATGCCCTGTGACAAGAGCAGGCACACATAAACATCAATATTAAACAAACCAGACCTTCATGTGGCAGGCTAAGAAGGCTGTGTGGACAAAAATCAACAGCTCTTCATGTGTTTTATCAGTTTTATTGGTCATATATCCAGAACTCATTATATAAATCTTTCAAAATAATGAGCTATTACAAGAATAGTTTACAAGTCAGCTCTGATTGCACAAATACTTGACACAGGAAACCATTTTTACAAATACATATTTGTCTTACAAGAATACTTTAATAAAGAAAATAAGTCTCTATATATCTTACAGCAAATGTATGTAGTTTCTTTTTCCCAGGCAACTATTATTTTGGGTTTACTATTATAACATGTTCATCATAGTCCCATAAACCAAATTAACAATTTGCTGTTGCTTCTCAATTTTTTTTTTTTAAACAGAGACCACTTGATGGAGTAGCTGTTACGTTGCTAGACTCCCACATGGCCAACCAAAGTTAAAGTCCCAGACCTAGTGGCTTCAAAATCATGCTGGGCATATGTGCGTGCATGCCCAAGATCCCATGAGAAGAATGGAAGAGAGGGGATCACAGTGTGGCCATCTCCCTGGGGAATGACTTCTCGCTTTCTACCTCTTGGTCTTTGTCTTTCCAGCAATATAGCATAAATCTCTCTCTTTCAAAAAAAAAAAAAAAAAAAAAGACAAGCCCACACGTTTGTTTGTTTATTTATTTATTTTTAATTTGTCAGAGGGTGTGTGTGCTTGCCAGAGAGAGAAAGGAAAAAACACCCTCATGGGGAATGGCGATGCCGCAATCCCTTCTCTTCCACATCTGCCTCCTTTCAGGAATTTGGGCGCACATACACATAGACATGCTTAGTGTACTTCTCAAGCTGCTAAGTCCAGGACTCGAACGTCACAGTCTGTCATGTGGGATCCAGCTGCCTTAACCACGACACCACAGGCTGGTCCCTCATTTTCAAATACCATTAAGATTCACACTGTTAAGGAATTTTTAGGCTTCCTTTTATGATCTTTCCTGATTTGAAAGATTCTCATGTATTCAGGCCATAAGAGGTCATTTAAACAACATTCCTTCTAAAACAAACTTGTGTCAGGTTAATCACTGGTTTTGGTAAATGGTCTTTTCACAGCCCACTTAGGCTAGACCAGCTAATACTTTTACACCTGCTGTATCAAATCCTTACATTCCTAATAGTCTTTAAAATACAAAACCCTGGAAATAAGAGTGAAATACAAATATTAAGGTAAAATATTTGCTATTGATCAGAGAGCACTTTTAAATTAAAGGTCTCTCCCAGGCTGAAGATGACACAAAAGAAAATACAAGAATGTGGCAGTAGTCGTATAAAATACTGAAAATCTGAGAAAAGGTTAATCACACAGGCCAATGGTGTATCATTTCTAAAATGCTGAAGGATACAGAATTTTAGGACCCTGTGGCTAGTAAACCTCATTATTTACCATTCTTCTTATGCTGTGGCTTTGAAATAGCCTAATACGTATCCACTTGCCCACAGCAAGTAATCCTCTAGGCCAGGGAACTTCATAGAATATCGAGCACATTACTGAAGAGATAGGACCCACCAGGAGAAACACTTAGCATTCACCCCAATCCTTCCCTGTTACTGAAAAGTGTGTCCACTTGGCAGTATTTGTTGTCTTACTTTTCAGGTAGCATAAACAAAATCAAGAAACTAGCAGTATTCAACAGTCAAGTTCCTGAGTACTCAGTCCAATATTCTTAAAAAGATTCTTTAATCAAGCCCTTGTCCAAAGAAGAGAATTACCAGTACTTAGAGAATACAAAATGTCCCATTTCTCTGACCTTTTATTTCTTTCCATTTCACTTTCTTACCCCAGTGTAACAAATTGCTACAAGTTTTTATCAAAATGCTGCAGCAGAAGTTTGAAATGGGTTACTTTGCAATACCAAAAGTGTTCAATCACATTGTCATGGATCTCATTTGCATGTAACTAGAAAATGGCCAAGTAATAGCTACTGCAGTGACTTTGCAAACTCAGCATAGTCAATATATCCATCATTGTTCTTGTCATCGTCTCTCAAAACACCATCGATTATGTTAATCAGTTCATCTTCATTCATTGGTGGTGCCTGTTCACTCCCTTCCTACAAAATTTAAATTAGACAATGAGTTGTACATTTTAATGAAAGTGCTTTAGACATTTAGCTAGCGTCCAAAACGTCCACGGTCATACATGCCCAGAAACTTGCCATGTAGTACGTGCTTACTTTGAGGAATCCACAAACTAACCTATCAGATATAGAGTTAATTTACTGTATAACAATCCAATTTAGAAACTACATTTGCCAGGGAACCAGCAGTTAGCGTAATGGCTATGTCGTTGGACTCCCACGTAGTAGACTGAGGTTCGCGTCCTGGACCCGGTGGCTTAGAACTCACGCCGGACACGTGTGTGTGCATGCCCAAGATCCTGAGAGGAGAATGGAGGAGAAGGGATTGCGGTGTGACCATCCCCCCTGGGGGGTGATTTCTCGCTTTCTATCTCTCTGTCTCTGTCTGTCTGGTGAGCGCACGTGCCCTATAGCGAAAACCTCTCCAAAAAAAAAAAGAAAAAAAAAAAAAAAAAAATTACATTTGCCA